TGGACAGTGAGGATTGGGCAAGACCAGCACTGATATGGCAGCATTCTTCCATTCTTTTCAATCAAGTTCTGACAAATGAGAAGTAAAACCTGGTTAGCTTAATCTTTTATCCCCCACTTCTTTCTCCTATCTTTTTATTGTCAACTACAGTTTTTCTCTTGCATACCTTTTAAATACACCTGTTTTTTATTACTTTAATAAAGATAAAGAAATTAGTCTGAAGAAAAATATATACTGTGTATTTTTTTTTTATCTACTGTTAGTTCACCCAATACAACGACCACTCAAGGTAGAGAGTTGCAGAGTGAGGTTATTGTGGGGGAGTAAGAAATGCATATTATGAGGATGTGTAAGATAGATATCAGTTGACTCTGGACTTGAAAAGACCAAGATTGTAGTTGTCAGGGAAGCATCCTCTCAGGAGTTTGTTCCACAAATTAAAAATTCTGGAGAAGCAGCTGAGCAGAACACAAAGGGAATTGGCATGGTTTGCCTCTGTAAACATGGCATGACAGATCTTAACTGAAGGTTTGAGCTGGTAAAACTAAGGAATATAGCATGTTTGAACATTTGCCATAGTAATAGCAATGGAGCAGTGAGAGGCTAGCAACATTTCATCTGATAGAAATTGCATTTCTAATTACAAATAATCAATTTAATAAAGGCATTATACAATGAAAGGAATCCATTTGATTTGGTTTATCCGAGTAAATAGTTAAATCCAACAACTCGTGACTTTCCGAGTTTTCTTTATATAATCCTAGTTGCTCAGACACAAATGTTTGTTCAATACGTGAGGAGGCAAGGTAGAGTAATGGATTGCAGCTCAGATTGAGGAATCGGAGAGTGGAGTTCAAATTCCAGTTGAGTTCATTACATTCATTTACCCTTGGGAAAGGTATGAATCCAATTCTACTCCCCTGAGCTATGGATAAATAGTAGGACAGACTGGATTCTATAAACTTTGGGCCAGGAAAACTGAATTCAAAACTGTATGTAGTCCTGGTGAAAAGGATTGTTTGCAATGACTTTATGATCCCAATTATGGTTAACTACTTCTATACTACAACAATGCTGAGCAAACCTTAGTTATAGATTCTGGGAAAGAGCACATCATCTGGCATGTTTTAACAAGGTTAGTACACTCAAACCCTCAGTCATGAGGACTGGTGACTTCACGCTAGCACAAGCATTGACAAACAATTCTGTCTACCCAATTTCACTCACAAGACATGGGGCAACCTGTAGTTTGGTTTTCAAGCACTTTCCAACAGTGCCACACACTGAGAATTTCTTTCCAGGTTAATAACATTAAGAAGTCATCTTCCTGACAAATTGTCCAAAGTAAGATTCAAACCCGGGTCACAGGGTCAGAAAGCAAATATTCTAACCACTTCGCCCATGATACAAGTTACAGAGAAATTGATCGAATATTCAACATGTGATCAAAATAAATGACAGATTTGCAATTCACTGTTAAGCTGAATCATTTTCAAAAATCCTCATGAGAATACTTCTAAAGATGCTAGTAATTTAGATTGCTGAAGATATCCCTGAAAGCCAATGAATTTTAAGAAAACAAAAAAAACGGAGAATAAATGATATGGTCTTTGTACTTAGGCAGATCCAAGACAGACAAATGCCATAAATAAAACAAAAGGCTGTATATCACTAGTCTGATAAAGATGTTCAATATGGCAAGCAGGTCAATAATGTACTATTTTTACTGATAACAGTTTCTGAATTTAGATTTTTCATGTCTATACATTCCAACAAATGACCAGGCTGCTGCTTTTTCACTTTTATCATGGCAACATCTCTATATAGATTACTGACCAAAGCTAAAGCACCTTCTGACAATTAGTTGAGGATTTATGACTATGTACTAGCATAATAACCGATGATTTCCAAGAAGTCGTGTGAGCACAATTTCATTCACAAGGCTTGGGTTAACATGTGGTATGGTTTTCACACACTTCTCAATCAATTTCTCACTATTTTTTATCTATCTAAGCAAGTCACATGCAGCAGTCACTTTTCCAAACCTCCATTTAAAGTTTTTGAACAAAGATGTGCACCAGACCCCACAGGGTTTTTAATATTTTTTAGCAGGAGAAATAAACAGAGACAGTGTATATATTTACATACAGAAAAACAGCAATCTAAAATGCCTCCAGCCACACACTAAAACCTTTGTGCATTTGGTCAAAGATGTCCTGTTCAGATTATACAACTAGTTACTCACTGAAAAGCAGCCCTCCAGTAGGTAATCTCACATTTTCAAGGCTAAAGAATTCTTTGGCATGGAGGTCAGTCTTAAATAGAATCATTTTTCATCAACATGCATTAACTAAAAAGTATCCATTTCTTTCCATCTTCATCAGCTCAACAAATCTGAAAGTGACCAAGAACTTTAGCTACCTAGGTAGTGTCAAAGAATGGGCAAACAAACTGGCCAATGCTAATCAAGCATTTGACTACACTGGACAACAGAAACTTCAGTTACAAAAACCAGAGTACCAAGATTTTACTATATTCTTGTTGTACACTAGTTTCAAATAAATTTTACTTAAGTGAATGGGCTAGGAAAATTTAACACTCACAGGACATATTGAAGGAAGGAGAAGCATAGGGAAAAAGTGAATAATCTAATGTTGATAGTGCAGGGAAAAATGAATGCTAAAGAGGCAAACATTGCTGAGAGCAACAAGAGACAGGAGGTTGTGGAGAGCCATGATTGTCCACATCTTGAAGACACATGGCACATAATTGACCATCACTAACCTGGCACCAAGGTAACACTTAAACCTTTGAACATTTAGTTCCAGGTTTTAACAAAATCATTATTTTGGCTGTTAAATAAAGGTTGTCTTCTATCTGTGGTGAAAATTGTTATAGCTACCTAAAATAACAAAAAAGTAATTATAGCAATTTCAACTGACATGTTCACCAAATTGATTTTTTTTTCCTTTCTTGCCAAGGTTGGTCAACCAAACACACAAGATCTGCAAGTTTTATTTGATTGACTAAAAATGTTTTGTGACTACGAGTCGTTTTTTTTTTTTTTTGTAACCCAATAGCATATTTCTGTTTGCTGAAAGCATAACTACACACACTTAAAATATTTGGCAGACATAAGCATTTGTAATTAAATATTTACATCTCTACAGATTTCTCTGATAAAGAGTGAGTGAGCAACTCAATTTATATTTTCATGTTCACTCCCTGAATCCCACTGCTTATTAGAGAAATATATAGATAGATAAATATTTAATTACAGGAATATATACATTTCTATACCTGCTAAATATTTTATTGCATAATAATGTCTGCTTCTAAAAGACTGAAAAAATCTAATATTCATATAGTCTAATATTAATATAACATTTTATTGTATAATATATGTCTGCTTTAAGATGGAAAACTCTGATATTCATATATTCTGAAAACAG